CTTAATGCATGCTTTTCATGAACTTGTCCGGGGTGCAGAATTAACTTTTTTGTGCACCGGCCAAATGGCTGGTGAATGTACAAATTTTATTAGCCACTCAATAGATTACCATTGTTTTCTTTTTTGCTGGTGAGTGAAGCAAATCGACCAGCCACTTGCATATTTTACCAGCAATTGGCTGGTGCTCCTGAACTTGACGTATCCATTTAAAATGGTGCAGGAGTTTCTTATATCTAATTCAACAAATCGAAGCCACCAGGAGACACCTGAGTAAATAATTATGGCCAAAATTAACATTTTCTTTATGCTAATTCAGTCAACCGGCTGGTTAAAAGTTCTCATACTTTTATCCTCTGTGTTTGGTTAAGCCCATGCCATTTCCTCCACAAAATAGCCCGTTGTTGTAAATGCTTCAAACTACTTCTACAGCGACTCATTTACAAGGCTCAAAACTATTTTATGTCACATTTCTTCTTGGTGTTCACATTTTCCTTTGGGTGGTCAAGTAAGAAAATGAATGCCGCTTTAAAAAAAACAACAACTTTAGTACCCTGAGTGTGGTTTAAGTGGGTCGCTTGAGAGTTTAATAGGCGAGGGGAAACCCTGAGCTGGATCCAAGCGTGCAGACTTGAAGTCAGACAGACGTAGCTGGAGGAAGTCAATGATGTACTTAACCACTCTCCTCAAAGGCAGGAAGACAAGGTAGAGCTAGACAGATGGGAAGAGGTGGAAAGATGGAGAGAGAAGCGAGAGAGGCTGTGGAAGTCAATAATGTACTTAACCTTACTCTGCAGACTCCCTGTGTCCCTGTTATTGTAAGGCAGGGAAGATGGGAAGGGTGAGGGGGGTGGAAAGGGAGAAAGGGGGAATAAGAAAGATGGCAGGACTTGGAATGGAAATAGAGGCAGCAAAGAAGCGTTGTGTTTTTGTGTCAGCATAAATGTCAGAGTAGTTAAGTGCGTGCAGGGCAGGCAGGGAGGCTGGGGTACAGGAAGAGCCCCATATAAGAGGGAATAGCCCAGTTTTACAGCCACATAAATCTCTGTTCCCCACACTGAAGGTTGTAACCCACCTCCTCCTCTTTTGGCTTTCCTGCCTCGGTTTAGCACTGCACTAAAACCTCCTTTTGACTTCTTGACTCTATCTGACACACTCTTTTGCTTCATTTCTCTCTCTTTCAGACTCTCTTGACCCATGCCCTCCTTTTTTTTCTCTTAGTGGCACTCTATATATTTTCTTCCTTTGACCCTTAAGCGACCAGGGCAAGAGATTAAAAATATCTTCAGGCTTCAGGTTTCTTTGCCCGCTTGATCTGTTTTTTTTCCTTTTTCTTTTCACTTTAATCCTTGGCAGGGACTTTTTTAATAAACCACTGATTTTGTGATAGTAAGATTTATAAAAAATTGTAATCATTTGTAATCATAGTATAGCATTATATTAACAAGGTGACCAAATATTCTTTAATGTGCATTCATCTTCGTGTTCTGGTGTTCTTACCTGAAGGGCTGGTGAATCTTCTTTAGAGGCCCACTGGGACTTAACTCACATTCACACATTAATGCATGATGACAGCAAAGTGAGAAAGGAGTCTAATTAAAGGACAAGTGAACATAAAATGTCTTAATAAGGTGTTGATCTACCATGAGCCAGAACGGCATCAGTGCTCCTTGACACACTGTAGACGGGCCAAGCGTGTGGCTCTCCGCTGGAGGGAAGAACACGTTCCAGAAATCTCCCGTAGGTGTTCAGTTGGGTGGAGATCTGGTGACTGTGAAGGTCGTAGCATATGATTCACATTATGTTCACACTCATTAAAGCGTTCAATTAGCCCTTGGGCCATTGTGTTCATTAGCATTTGTTATGTTTCAGGACTTATTTATTCATATGTTTCTCTTTACTTTGGCACCTATCTATCTGTTGTGGTTATAATAAGTGCCATGTTTGCCCTCACCTGTCAGTCTGACTCCTTCAGCTGTTACTGCAGCTAGCTTTCTAGATATTTCTTACTTTGTGCAAATCTCTTGCGGCCCAAATTTGCTTCTACCATTTCATATGCAACGCAGTGTGCTGTTGAAAAATGTAAAGGGCACTACTTGAATGGAATCTCTTAAAAACACCTTTTTCCACACTTGTGCTGGATGGTCAGATTTTTGTTTGATTTATTTCTGACCTTTTTCGCTCTGATGTCCTCTTTCTCTAATTTTCTTCCTTTGTCTCTATGACTCTTTCTTGAATAACTTCTTTCCTGTAACATATCTCTCATTTATTTAGATATATCCTTCTTCTTCTGTTTCTCCCTTTCTAAAGAAAGTTGTGCTAGACTTCCAAAGTCTATTTGCTAAATACAGTAGATGTGGTCAGTGTACTTACGGCAAGCGGATTTACGTTTTTAAATGAGAAACTCAAAATCGGGAAATGAGCTTTTTCCTGACTGCCATTAATAAAAAGGAGAACAAAAAACTGAAGAGCTGTTTTATTTTATTTATACGCAAAGCGGGTACGTTTTTTCATTCATCATTTAGATTTAAAGCAAGGTTTTCTCATTTCAAAACGGAAATCCATTGGCCGCCAAGTACATTGACCAAGAGGAGGCTGTGGCTCAGGAGCCGTCCACTAGTCAGAAGGTTTTTTTTTTTAAGTATATTTTTTGGGCTTTTATTGCCTTTATGATAGTGACAGCTGAAGATAGACAGGAAAGGGGGGAAGAGAGAGGGGATGACACGCAGCAAAGGGTCGCAGGTCAGATTCGAACCCTGGG